CTCAGTCTTTTCTATTTTTCTAAAGTCTTATCTGAGGCTGCTGATAGAAATTATTTTGTTCCTCAGTTATTTCTATTTTTCTAAAGTCTTATCTGAGGCTGCTGATAGAAATTATTTTTGTTCCTCAGTTATTTTCTATTTTTCTAAAGTCTTATCTGAGGCTGCTGATAGAAATTATTTTTGTTCCTCAGGTATGTTTTACCTTTTTGTGATTGGTTTACTTTGTACCTTTCTTTATTGGAAATAAAAGTGAGAAAAAATACATTTTCCAGTGATTTGAGTTTGAGTTTACATATTTTATAATATGAATAGTGTTTTGTCCAGAATAATGTTTCATTCTGAAAACAAAAATTCCTAAAACGTAATGTCTAATAAAAATAAAATTAAACCATTGGTTATTTCTGAAATGTTTTCCAGTTCTGTTTTATATAAAAGAATAAAAAAAAACCAATCCTAACCTTAAAGTTGATTACAAAATGTCCTGCAAGAGTTGTGACTTTTTGGTCTTCATGACTCATTGTGGAAGTTAACGTATCTGAATATATGCGTTTTTGTAGTATCCACTGGCATGGAGGTAAAATTGTATCCGAAACGTATATGTTGTTATGGGAAGGTGGAAACTATTTTCTTACTTCCCTGGTCTCTTGTTTCCCTCCATATACATCCATGAAGAATGTTTTGAGTCTCTTAATGATGTACCTTGAAACATTTGTAAAAACATATATATTTTTATTTTACTTTGCATTAATAAAATACTTCATCCGATGAAATATCAAATATCTTGTATAGAATAAATCGATTATCAAATAAGTGATAATAATTACGAAGGAAGAGTGAAATTATGGTTAGGGCGCTCGACTCGCAATCTGAGGGTCGCGGGTTCGAATCTCAGTCATACCAAACACGCTCGCCCTTTCAGCCGTGGGTGCGTTATAATGTGACGGTCAATTCCACTATTCGTTGGTAAAAGAGTAGCCCAAGAGTTGGCGGTGGGTGGTGACAATTTCTTGCTTCTGTGCTTCTTGTTTAGTTTGATTCGCTTCTTCGCCAATGGTTCAGGTGAATTTACGTGGTAGTTTAGAATACCTCATCATCGTTTGTAACCTAAAAATACATAAAAAAGGAAGGCGGCACTATTAAAATGTATATTTGACAATGACATAAACATAATTGAGAAATGTTAAGACATACGGGTACCTTCAAATTTTGTTTAATTTCACTCTTTGGTTTGGTTTGTTTTGAATTTTGCGCAACGCTACACGAGGGCTATCTGCGCTAGGCGTCCCTAATTTAGCACTAGAGGGAAGGCAGCTACTACGTTGAGTAGATTGTAGATATACAGAAGGGTATATTATGAACAGGTTTTTAACGGCCGCCTTAAAAGTACAATATGTTAATAATGACATGAAATACACAAAAATCGATTTATCTATCTTCATGCACTAACTACGGATATGCTCTTTTATGCTAGATTGGAAAGCGAAAGTTACACTGATTAGATGAAGCCAGCTATACCTTACTCAACACTACACAGCCACCCGTACAAGTTCGCTATTTGATTTTTGTATATTATAGAGTACCAAACTGAATCTTCACGATGGTTCATTTGTTTAGCCAGACGGAGATAACCTAGTTGTAGTCAGTTAAATTAATTCATATGACTGTTTTCAATAATCAATTCTTGATTTTAACGGCCATCACAGCCTATTGGTTGGCACACTGAGAACCTTAAACTTCCGATATTGAAGGCTAACGACGGGAAATGAGGTTTAAGTGGTTATATAGACTGCCCGAGTGGATAAATACAGTTCAATAAAGAAAAAAAAATGCTAACACTCTGTTTTCCACCGGAAGTACGTACCCGGAAACCACTGAGTTTGCGTTAGCGGAGGTGGGTGTATTAAGAGAACCGATAGGAGATGTGGTTGCTCGTATTATTGTTGTGTACAAACACTTTTCCTCCGTTATTCGACAACTAATACAAGTAAAAATGTGGAAGCTTAAATAAACAATAAGTAAAAATATTAATAACAATTGCTTCTTTGCATTTTAAATGTAAAGAAGTTTAAGTGGTGAGAATCTTCAACCATGGCATTCTATTTGTCGGATAATGAAGGTAAAAAAACATTACTTGGAATCCTGTGCTTCTTATTGGTTTATCCATTGATGTCCTTAGTAAACTCTGAACTTGACTGTCCAAGCTCTTGTTTTTGTGACGACAAGGAGCAGTTTGTGAGTTGTGTTGGCGATGGATTGTGGCACGTGCCTCCTGACATACCTACGTCAGCTGTGAGACTTGAGCTACGAAACTATATCATTCCAACTTTATCAAATAAAGCTCTGATGAAACTGACTGAATTGCAAGAGCTTAAAATTCATCAGTCTGAAATTCGTTATATCGAAAACGGAACTTTTCTTGGATTACAAAAACTCCAGCGATTAGAATTAAGTCTAAATCTTTTAGAAGGACTAAATGTCGCCATTTTTCTTGGACTAAATGAACTGCGATACTTAGACTTATCTTCCAACAAGCTAACCAGTACTGAGGAGGCTTTTCAAGACTTAAAGCTGGTAGAACAATTGAATCTTAGGGCCAACAAACTAACCACAATCACTTCATCAAGCCTTGACGGCCTTCACAAGGTTCAATATCTTAACTTGGATTCTAATAATATCTCTAACATAGAAGTGGGGGCTTTCCAACACCTAACTAACCTTGCCCACTTAATTCTCAGCAACAATCCCTTAACCCAATTGTCACGTCTGGATTTTTTTGGCTCCAGGCTCCAATATATTGACTTCTCTCACGTAGGGCTGAAGCATGTACCACAGAGTCTGACAAGGTTTGTACGGGATCTGAGACTGGCCAAGAACAATATTACACAAATAGGAGCCGGAGACTTTGACAGCTATCCTTACCTTGGCCTTCTTGTTCTTGATGATAACAATATAACAAAAATAGAAAATGATGCCTTCGGTAGACTAGAGTATCTCGTGCGCTTGTGGCTGAATGGTAATCTTCTTGAGAGAATTCCTGCTAATTTACCATCTTGTCTGAGTGCTTTGTACATTGAAGAAAACCACGTGAAGAAACTCCCTGCTCACAGCTTTCGTGGATTGAATAATTTAGAACAGCTTTTTCTCCAGAGGAACGATATTGAAGAAATGGAAGAGTGTGCATTCTGTGACCTAATTCGACTTAAAAATTTGGACTTGCAAGCCAACAAAATTCAAAACTTGACCAAAGGAATTTTCGCGAATTTAACAAGCTTAGAAAGCTTAGATCTTTCGCAAAATAAATTAAGGATTTTGGATTCTCAGTGTTTCACTGGTTTATCTTCCCTAAAAACTCTTCAGATATCTCGTACTTCTACGTTTATTGAATTTGACGATTCAGTCTTCGACACCTTGAAGAATCTGGAAACCCTTGAGTTGTATGACAGTGCTCCATTTTCAGTCGAAATTCTAAACTCCACGCGCGGTCTGCATGGTCTTCGAAAACTGAAAGAGCTCAACATCATGCATAACAAATTAATCTGTCTACGGCCAGACTTACCTTCTTTTTTCCCTGTAATAAAAATAATTAAAATGAGTGGAAACAGATGGCACTGTGATCGGAATATCTTGTGGCTGACCAAATGGTTAAAAACAACAAGTATTCAGTTTTATCGTAGTTATGACATTAAATGCGCTTCACCTACTGAACTAGAGTATAAGCCTATTATGTTATTAACAGAAAATGACTTTACTGTTACTACTACTTCAACGTTAGAGCTAGGAACTACTGTTGAATACAAAGGCATTAAAACGTCAGAAAGAGTAGCTACCACGGATCATTTCATGGCAAGAATCTACCCATATGGACCTCTTATTCCAGTTAGCATAGGGCCAAGTTCAACAAAGGTACTAACAGAAGAAGCTTTTCCCGAGAATACAAGCACGAATTGGTTTTTGGATAATACTTCAACGACGGTGTTGTTTAACTATTCGCACCAAGTGTTCAGTGACAATAAACAACGAGGCAAACTTGCCGAGGAAGGGAACAATCCAGCACAAGGAAACGTAACATCCAATGAGGATGATGGTAAGTCACATGAACATTCTAATCAGAGTTATGTAGAGAATACTCTAACAGAAAACGTACATATAAATACGGCTTCTTCGTACAAAGGCACAACTCAATCCATTGAAATTCCAGCGTCTAACACAAGTTATATTTACACCACATTTTCTGCTCTAAGTCGGAATAATAAAGACAAAATTTCAGAGAAAAAGAAAAACAATTCCCATGCATTAGGTTCAGTTCCAACAACAGAAGGATACCAAAAAAGTGTGTCAACTCCTAAAGGATTCTACGTGTCACCTGTAGCTACTCCGCATAATTTAGCACACAACAATGACAAAACTATTGCTATTATAGTGCCATCTAGTTTAATTGGAGGAATTCTAGTGATGCTAATCGGGCTACTGGTTGTCGTAGCAGTATTGAGGTGTCGAAAACGACCAGATACCTGTGGTGTGCACAGGAGTAGCAGCAGTATCTCTTATTGTCCCCATCGAGATGAGGTATCAATCCTGACGATTTCAGAAGGAACTGTGGGCCTTAAAACGGAAAATCATCACGGACTTGGAAACAAACTCTACTATCTAATGGAAAATGGAGATATCCACAAAGATCCAACTAAGGACGCAATACCCGATCCACAGCTACAGGATCTGCTTTCGCAACTTCCTGGAGAAAATGGGCAAATTTGTGTCAGCGAACACGCGGTCTCGTGATCGTATGTACGATTTTGAATTTTAAATATAATATATTTTGTTGAGTTGTCCCACAACTTCATAAAGTAAGATCAAAAACACGGGGGACATTGATTAGCTACGTCATAATTAATGTTGTCAGAAGTTTTTCTCCTTGAATTCAAATAAAGCACGATACTACTTCGTTAGTATTATATAAAAATGTTATGAAGATTATGAGATCCAACCGTAACGGTATGTATAAATTGTTTTAAACTAGTAAGGTTATTTTTTCGTCATGGCCCTTTTTTGCTTATCAGTGAAGATTTCATACTGAATAATAAAATAAAACTAACATGTCCTTACTAACCTAAGGGGCCTTCTTCCTTATTTAAGCTCTTCATCGCAGTTATAAATATCTGTAATGTTTATATGTTTCAAAACCAGAAGAATTGCTAAGGTATTTTTGTATAAAAGAAATAAATTGAAGTGATGATGATTAAATAGTCATTTTGTAATATGTGAAATCTAGACAATCTCTTCATATTGAGATGCTCTTAATGTCTTAATTTTTTAACTTGATTTTAAAACTCCATTCGAACAAAATCTTAAGCTATAGTTTAAAAGAATTTGAAACTACTAGTCAAATGTAATTTTTGGAGTAAATATAACGTTTCTATTAAGAATCTTTGTCTATTGTACGTGATGCCAGTTTAGATAGTTTTTCATAAGACGTAGTTATAATTATATGTAAGGCATAAGAGAAGTATCTTAATATCTAGTTTATGTCAGTTACCTATTCGTCACAGTATTTTGTTTTCTACTTTACGTGTAATGCAGTTACACTCATTTGCTTATGATCTTAATGGCATAGCAGGTTAATTAAGACCTTTATACTGAACATGTATTTGAACATTCAATATACTTTACTGGATTATATATTGTTACCTATTTAGAAATAATTGCTGTTTTTTAATGATTCCTTTGCTAAGTATTTTCAAGATTTTCCCCATAGAAATAAAACGCTTTAAATAGTATAAATTTTTTTATTAGATATTTTGCTACTGGTAACAGGTTTTAATTAACAAACATAATCAGGCCTAGAACGTATCGGAACTAGTGTACAAATGATTTTAAAGCGCAATGTTTTGTTGAAAGTCAAGCATGATATTATGGATGATGGATGTTCTGTTACCAATCTGTAAGAAAATGATAAGGTGTTTGTATATAATGAGGCTAATAAATATACTATATTTAGTAATGACCAATTCTGACTCTAGGGATATTCTATAGGGTGGTAAAAATTATATGATATTTTCAATTTTGGGTGAAATCTTATACGACACACGAGCTAAACGGCCAGATAAGGGTCTCCAAAGTTCATACATAGCCTGTTTTGTGTAAATCTACATAAAAGGCTATTTGTGCATAGCCGATCCTAATTTTGAACTGACAGACTAGAGGAAGGGCAGCTAGTCAACAACATTCACCGCCAAATATTGGCTATTCTTGTCTGATTGAATAGAGAGTGAGATTTCATCGTCACTTTCATAGATCACCCACTCCTCGGATTAACAGTTCAGGTACGTTAACCAATAGGCCACGGCCAGCCCAATATCACAGAAAGTTTTTCCCGACAACTATCATACCTAAAAACGAAAGAAAATTGTATCTTCGAAAAGCTTTTACTTGTATAAAAAAAAGAGCTAACTGCAATAGACATTGATAGAATAAACATGTATATACATTGTTTGTTAGTTTGTTTTTGATTATTCCCCTATGATTAACCAAGGTCTAACTGAATTAGTCTTCCTTAGTTTTGAACTCATAAACTAAAGGGAAGGTAGCTGGTCAACAGTACTCACCACTAAATCTTAAACTACTTTTATCTAGCAGAAATAGAGGGATTCCACCGTCACTCTTATAACGCATCCACGGCCCCAAATGGAAGCGCGGTTTTCCTTTTTTTGCGCTAAGGGGACGCGAAATAAGGACTTACAAATTCACAGTCCGAGCCACGTTCGAACCTGGAGTTTTAAGCAATCTCTTCAATTAAAGAACAACGTTGATGAGTAAAAATAAATTATTAAACTGTAGTATTAGTCGGTCACGTAAACATTTTGTTTATTATATTAAAACTGTGTCACTTGTGATTAGAACAAAACTTCCTTTTCTCGAAGATACGTATCTTTCAAATTGTGTTTGAGATAAAAATGTCTATATTTTTTTTATAAATACTTTAAAATTATGTATAACTTTTATAATATCTTGTCCTTAATTATCAAGTTTGATAACATATATTTGTTTTGTTAGTTCGTTATTAAAGAAACATCTACAATGAGTGACCAAAAAATTACAGCACTCCGATATCTGGTTATTGCTCCGTGAATCCAATACACAAACTAAGCCTGGTCACAGGGTGCTCTATGTAATTAATCAGGTGCATCTAAAAGGGGGCAAACGTAACCCCAGTAGTGAGCCTTCTGGACTATGAGTCTGCGGTCAATTGATCACGTCCTGTTAGCGAAAACAGAAATCACTCTCCGCCCTTTGGATTCATTATAAGGTTGTCAGTAAAATCCCCACTGTTCGATTAGATATGAGTATCTCATGAGTTAGCGGTGGGTGCTCTTGGCTAGCTACTTTCCCTCTAGACTCTCAGTTTAAAATGAGGAACAACTAGCACAAATAGCCTTGAATAACTTTGACCGAATATTCGCGAAAACAAACAAACACAATTCACCGAATGACACAAGTATCAGTATCTCAGTGAATTCACAATCGATATAATAATGGGAGCCCATGATCCAGAGTTATCCTTCCAGGAGATGGCAAAATGGATAAGGGTATCTGTCAAGACAGTCTCGTATATATCTGCCTAGAATGGAGAATCCGAGAGAAAACATTCAACGTGCGTCTCTGGGAACAAAAGGATCACCATCGATAGGGATCGCCAAATATGAGGGCACATTGTTGAAAGTCACATGCATGAAACAGTTGCAAATATCAGGGTAATGTGTAACAGTGGACAGGAATACACCATATCTGTGAGAACAACGCACTATGAATTTAACAGCATTAGATTTAGTGATTTTTTCTTTTGTTTCGGATATTCTTGCATAGCGACACTAGAAGTATCTGCACTAGTCGTCTATAATTTTGAACTGATAGTACTTTTGGGCCACTCTAATTGAACAGTGAGATTTGACTGACACTCTTATGCCACAACCACGGCCCTAAAGAGCAGAACTTGCAGTAACTGGACACGAATCAGAGACGGTCAGCTTCGCAGTCTAACATGCTACCACTAGGCCATGACCAGCCCAGGATTTGATGCTTGCATACCCATTCACATGCCCTTAATCCTGACGAAAAACAGAAAATCCTCCTATAGTGGACTGGATAAAGGTCTTGTTGTCCAATGGATCCCGTTTCATGTTGTTTCGAACAGATACGAAGGCTTGAATATGGTAGCTACCTCATTAATCATTGGACCCACAGTCTACCATGCCAATAGTTTAATCAACTTGAGATGCCCCCAGTGGCACAGCAGTATGTTTGCGGACTTACAACGCTAGAAGCCGGGTTTCGATACCCGTGGTGGGCAGAACACAGATAGCCCATTGTATAGCTTTGTGCTTAATTACAAACAAACCACTTGAGATAGTGTCATGACTAGAGAATGTTTAACTAACACGATTTAGGGTCTCTCATCCTCTGGAAAGGCAGGTTGACTACCAAGGATTATATAGTAATCTTAGCTGACTAGGTACACCCAATTATATTATATATATATATATGTATCCAAACAATAATTGGCTGTTTCCGGACGATAATGCTGCCATCCATCAGCCTTGTTGTCACACGAGAACTGTGAACATAACATGGGCTTCATACATCTTTCCTGGATCTCAACACGATTAATCATCTTTAGGGTGTTTTAGAATATCGCATTGGGGGCGATTTACATGTCCCATCCTCCTTGACACAAATATGGTCCGTAATCCTAAAGAATTAGTATCCAAAATCATTGAATGTCCATCAAGCCAATCCCAGTGTTTTTGAATGGTTTCCTCCCTCTAGTCAAATTAGTGACGACTATGTTTGAATCTTGGGTCTGTTATATGGCCGTTTAGTCCACGTGTCTCGTAAGGTGCAACGAACAATTTAAGGTTACGAGTTAAACCTCATACAAATCATTAAAAAACAACCAAATATTAGTCTACTACTAGTCAGTCTCATATATGTAACTGCCATTTAAAGTCTATCCAGGATTTATAGGATTTTACACATTGAATGGACAAAAAGGTACAGGATGCACACAATAAGAAGTTGAATCTCTGTCTTCGATGACTGTAGCAGTTCGACATGGCCTAAATTGCAAAAGATGGGTTGCAATTACAGTGCCCACATTGCTGAAAGTGCGGACTGTGTTCAGCGTCATATTGCGGTTCAAACCTTAAACATTCCGATTCCCAGCCCAGCAAGATAGTCACTAGGTCATACCCAATCTTAAATAATATAAAATAAAGCATTACCTTTGGCCCAAATCAAACAGTACTTCTCATGGCTTTCTACCCAATGTGTGCCAGAGGTAATCCACAGTCTCCCCCAACACCCCCCCCCTCCCAAAATAGTCTTACCTTACGATGGTGGAAAGTATCCTTTTTTATCAATTGACCCCCTGCCCTTTTAATGTTCTCTGTACGTTACTGATTACGTTTATTTTTATCCAAATTCGGAAGTTTATATATATATAATTAGAAATTGTTTAACATGTCCCGCACGTGGATTAAACGGTCGGGTTAAAGACCCCCCCCCCTTCAAGATTACTCTTTACGATTACTCTTAACTAAACAGCGGTATATCAATGTTGGAACGTTGATAACAGCCCAGCAGGCTGTTACTAGGCTACGACCAGCCCATTTATTGAATAACTGTTTTTATATGCTTTTATAACATTTCAAGACATACTTAGTATTTATTCAGTATTTTCAAACGTTTTAATAAGTATTGCTTTTCTCAACCTGAGCGTCACCTTGTATACAGATCAGAAATCCCCTAAGCTGCTTTTAATTTTGATCTACTGATCAGAGGGTGAAAAGAG